GAAGATATTCGATAGATGGATGCACTTTGAAATACGTTTCGATTTTATGACAAATCCTTCGTGTTGTTTATTGATATGTCCGCGAATACACATTAATAATTTGCTTCATTCATAAATTGCCGATTCGAAATTCATAAAAACATTGACGATTGACGTTTTATGTGCGATTCAACGATAGACTTATGTACGCCGGGTGGTTAATATCGATGATATGCACGAGAAAGACATTAAACTGAATGCGATTTTATGTACGTCACAATTCAACAGTTGTGACGTTCAAAGCGACCGTACGGTCGGTCACTAAATTAGTTTAAATTCGTTGGTCTCAGTGCTTTTCATGAGACTTTTTGAATGAATGGAAAACCGGTCGATGTTCATCCGAAAGAATCTTTTGGTTGATTCCAACTTGTCATCGAGGTATATTGACATTATCACGTTAAATTGTTTCACTCTCAGTTTTGGGTTATTCCGATGATGGAAAATTCATGCAACTAGCCTATTCCAGTTATTCGCATTCAGCGTTTCAATTGTTTTCACCAATAACATTCTCAAAACATTTCGGTTCAATCACTGCAATAATTTCTAAGAAATGGGAATGATTATGGAAATGCTCTTGAGAACAGAAGAAACAAATCTGGAAAGTATTTTATGTATGACATCAATGGGAAACGGTCTTCAAGGGCGGAAAATCTCCTTACATTACTTAATATTTGCGAGGATTTAAATGGCAACTGAGCTCGTATTAATAATAGTAATTTTTGTATGTGCGTTATTCGACATAGATCATCTTAAATTTAATCAACTGAATGTCAAAAATTAAGGCAGACAGCGTTCTGATGATGAAGCCAATGCGTCATCACTCCTAATTGGGTCCTCTACAAAGCAGTTTGTTATTCTAACATTAGAGCCGCATTGCATCAAAGGTTTTAACTAAAGACGCATCAAGAGACACTTCGCCATTTGTGCACAATCTGCTTAAACGTAACGGACATGAACTACAAATATTTCATGTCTGGCTGGCGAGTGAATGAAAGTGATGTTTGAACAGAGTGCTTGTAAAATCACAAAACTCTTAAAATTTTAATTTGTTTGCAACGAAGGCAGCAATGCATTTGACAAAGATGATCTGACGAGATTATTTTCGTTGCAATGCAACCGATCGTGCAACAAAATATGCTGCCATAAGTTAGCAAAAACATTATGTGATGCTATTGAGACACCACTCAGTTATCATAGTTTCGGTAAATATCACGAGTCATCTC